CTGGTCACAGTTCTAAGACAGTAAGAAAATGTCTCCTAAAAATCCTTTTGCCCTTGATAGGTAAGGAGAGAGAAAATAACTTTTCAATCAAGACAAGCCTGCAAACTAGTAAACTAGTCTAAAAKGAATAAAGAAACTAATTCCAAGGAAGGCAGCTGTCAAAATCACCAGACTACCAATTCCTGCATAAATAAAAATAACTCAAAATTATGAAAAATGTCAAATTATTAAGTGTTAAATCCTGTAAGGAATAAAGCCAAGCATACCTATATTAAATATGAGATGTGTAARTTATAAGAAAGATAGCTGAGCTTGGGACTTGGCAAGATAGTTTGGTGATTTAATCAATTACTAACGGTTAAAGTCTCCCTTTCAATCTGGGTATAGTGGCACACACCTATGATCTCAGTGACTTTGGGAAGCTGAGGCAAGGAGATTGCAAGTTCAAGAACCAGCTTCAGCAACTTAGTGAAGCCCTAAGCAACTTAGTGAGACCCTGTCTCAAAATAAAAATAATAAAAGGTTGGGGGATGTAGCTCAGTGGTTAAGTGCCACTGATACTGGGTTCAAACCCCAGTATAAAATGAATGAATGARTGAATGAATGAATCAATCAATCAATCAATAAAACAAATAAAAATCTCCATTTTAGTGTGTCATTTGGTAGTTAAAAKTTGCTATAATTTTTTTCTTGTTTGRAGAAATGTACAATGACTACTGTGTTTCAACAAACCTGACAGACACTACCTGGCTGTGCTGTTATTCAATTCTGACATTTATCTGGCATTAGCGCAGACCCCTTGGGTTAAGGATATGACCCTCCACACAACTGCCTTCACTGCAAGTGAGAAGTCTCAGGAGGTCCCCAGGCTGCCCCTGCTTCTTATCAGCTACAAATATAGTGCTTTGCATGACCTCCTYAGGTTCAATAATTCTGGTAGTTTGCTATAATGACTCATAGCACTCAGGCATTGTAGWTGTTATTATATGCTAAGCTTCGGTGTCCAGGGTTTTTATTGGGCTTTCATTACACAGGTAGTCAGATGGGTTGCATTGTTGGTCAGTGATTTAACCCAAGTTCTAGACCCTCTTCTGGCCCCTTCCCAGAGGCCAGGCAGCTAAAAGTTTTTACCCTCTGATCTTGTGGTTGGATTTTCTGGTGACCAGCCCTCATCCTGAAGCTACCTCRTTTCCCCTAAGTCACTTCATTAGCATTAGAAAGATACTCCTATCACAAGGCATTTTCAAGARTTTTAGAAGCCCCTTATCAGGAACTTAGGATGAAGATCAGATAAATTCTTTCTTATATCACAAGGAATAATGTTCAATTCYATCACAGAGAAGGCATATAATAGGTATAAAATGTAAAAGAAGCCACTAAAATGTTAGAATTATAATATAGAACTATGTCCAAGAAATTGTGCAAAACAGAACATAGGAAACATTTTTCATCCCAAAGGCATAAGAGAGAGGGAAAGAGTTAATGCACACTGCTGGTAAACAGGAGCCATGGAGGGAGATGACACTAGTCCATTTACACTTGTAGTGAAAATGTGTGTAACTATATTTACTTTACCTATTAAAAGACATAAATTAACAAATTAAAAATTTAAATGTAGCTATAAACTGATAAAATAATGTATGCAATACTTAAAGTAACAGAGCTAGATATAACTAAGAAAATGTTAATCAAATGAAAGCCAGAATAAAAATGTTAACATCAGACAGACAGATTTAAGATAAATCAAAGCAATGCAAAACATGTCATCATGAGTTAGGAGAAACACTGTGTAATGAAAGGAACCATTTACTAAGTATATCCAATAATCATGACCTTGTTTATCTTCAACAAAATAGCCTAGAATATGTAGAGAACGATCAAAATCACATGTAGTATCCAAAATAACTCATGGGGAATCTCAATAAACATCCAAAACAAAGCAGAGGAAAGCTTTTATTAAGTGTGAGAGACTCATCAAGAAAACCATACCAGCTTGAATGTAGGGGTCTGTGTTTGTGGGTGGGGGGTTACAAACATATATGTCCATGTTTCTGTTACCAAAGAATGCATAGTGTTAAGTACATATTTATGCACAACATTTAAATACATTTAAACAGAAAAGGACTTGATTGTTTCAAAGTACTAATTGATGGTAGATATTTTTATACTTATAGATTTTGAAGAATTAATACCATACATGACAGTCTTTGACAGTCATGTATAATAATTTAATTTAATACTCAGTTTTTCTATGTGTTGGAGGAAGGAAAAACCATTCTGCTATAGACCAAGATCTGAGTGGTGTGTGAATTAATTGATACAAATTAATAGGAGAAAAGTTTGTTTCACACACGTGTGTGAGTATCCTATAGGGAACAGGTCACAGAACAGCTAGAGGTAAGAATTTATGTACCCCTTAACAAGGGGCTATTTAATGGGGCTCATTTAGACAGATTTTTTTGGAATGTCCAGGTACCTAAGGTGAGTAGCCTCCCTGGCTGGAGATCTTCCCGGAGTTGGGAAGGACAGAGGCTAAGTCTTGGAAAGCTTTGCTATAGAAAAGCTGTAGCCAATGCCTGACAGAGTATCACAAGCCCAGCTCCACATCCCAGCTATAGAAATGTATACAAAAATCAGAGCTCTGGAAGTCTGTGTGCATTCCTGTGTGCTGAGAATAAAATCCAAAGTCTTTGGCCTGGAAGGTCTGCCCAGTTCACCAAGCACCCCATCATTTGAGCCATTTTGGTCTTTCAGAGCCTTAGGAAGACAAGCATTTTTTCTTACAGCACCCCTGCTCACTCTCCTCCTTCTGCCTGAATGGCATTCTCTGGCTTTTTTCCCTGGCTGTCTGCTCTTCWTTGTTCACCTCTTCAGCACAGCCTCTCCTCATTAATGAGCTCTAATATGCTTCCCTCAATTCCAGCTCAGCTCCCAGATATTTTTACCCTAATGTGTCACATTTTTGTATCCATTTGGGTGCCTTTTACTTTCTTTTCTGATTATTGATAAATAGGCAGAGAATGTGGACTTTGTTTTGTTTGTAATATTTACAGCTGAAATGCAGTGCCACACCCAGATACCTTCTCCTTCACTCCTGTGCACTTCCCAGGCTCTCAACTGCCAGCATACATTTCTTGGCTTGAGGATTCACTTTGGTTTCTAGATGCTAACTAGAAACCACTTGTACCACTTTGGGCCTGAAATTCCATGGAGGAAGTAGCCCTAGACCAAACACCAATAGGAAATAGTGTATAAATGCTCAGGGTCCCTCACCCTGTTGGAGAGATATGGTCCACAATGTTTGGCTCCATGATGCATCTTTTATTGGCTGGCTGTTCTTCTGTGTCTCATTTTATCACTTGCTGATCAGTGTTTTATGTATCTCCTAAGAAAACTGCTTATATCCAAGTCCTTATTTGGGGCAATGCTTTTGAAACATATAGTTACACAATAAGTATTTTTTTGAATGCATGGATGGATGAGTGAGTGGATAGATAAAAAAGAGATTCAAAGGGGAGTTCAAGGTGGGATGATGTGTAAGGTTTCAAACTGTTGACAAAAATACAGGTGCTGTGAGCACATTCTAATTAGGGATAGTTGGGTCACAAAAAGCATGTAAGGCCACATAAAGGTGTATGTATGGCAGTTTACAAAAAAAGTCTAATATGGAATTTTTAAAAGCTAAGATTTTCTTTAGGCTTGCTGCCCAATTCTTAAAGATTTTATGGATGCCTGGTTTATGTGCAGTTTTTACACTTCCTGGTTTTATTACAATATTTACCTAAAATATTAAAGTGTGCTATGCAAACTCATAAATAAAGTTCATCATGAAATTTATTCAATTTAAGTGAGTTTAACAGTCCAAACAATCGCCTTTTAGAAATACATCTGGAAGTGAGAATTGGGCTGTAAGTGAAATCAGATGGTGAGATTTAGAGCCACAGGAAAAAAGTGATAACCAAAAGAAACTGTAATCACACTTGATGATGTAACTGATAAGTGGTTTGGGAGGCACCATTGGACATTCAACAGCATTATTATTGTGTCACTGGACAAGTTCACAGTTTTGTATTTTGGGGGAGTGCTGACTAAAGCTCCTGACCCAGAGCTCATTGGTTTTCAGCAAATTATAGGTGTGGGAGACTCAGTCAGACTGTGACCTTCCTGAAGGCAGGAAGGTTAAAGTCTGAATCATCTTTCACATTCTCAGTGGCCTCAATGCTTGGCTTGTAAATGACTGGAATGCATAAGAAGCAGGAGTGGTTGGACCACCTTGCTCTTATAATGAGTAGTATTCTCCAATGCAAAATGATGTGAACTAGCAAATCATTCATCATTAAGAAAAAAGCATTCCTCAAACTACAAAAGGAGATTATTTTAAAATAATAATTCTGATACTCCAGGCTTTCAGTATAATCTAGCCCTACTCATTTAAAAATTAAAGATGGCTGGTCTAAAATCCTGTAAAATGGTATTAACTTTTTATAAGGGGATATTACTATGATGCTGGTTGAAAAATATTTGTGTTTAAACAAGCATTATATGTGAAATCCAATTAAATGTGCAGATGGAAAATATTGTTCAGAAATAATTTCCAGGAAAAAATTTAACTTCGTTTGATGAATTGGCTTGCTTTTTCTTTATGGGTATTGAAATTTCTAACATACTGTTCTTTTTCAAAATTTTGGCTACTAAAGAACTCAGAACTTAATTGGCGGCTCAATTTTTTTCTACCCATGTGGGAAGTTATGACTTGTATATTTGCCTTTTAAATTTTTCCTGGTCTTTAAAATCTAGTCTGATTTTTTTTTCTTTTCCCTGGTACTGGATTTTTTAATTTTACATTTAATTGACCTGCTTAAATTTTTTTAGATTGCCTGTATTTGTCTCTTTATTTTTTAAGCCATGAACTTTTTGTGTTAAATAGAAAAATAAATGATTCATGCTTCATATATAAAACATATATATTTCTGACACAGTACTGCTGTTCTTTTTTCAAGGCCCAATGTTTGTGAAGAACAGCTGGTGACTGTGGTGGGACTGGCGCACCCCTGTGTTCGGGCCTTCACGCACACCGCCAGGCTCTGGAAACAAGGCTGTACCGGCCCWCCCTGGTGCATGGGTTATGAAAGAAGGTGAGGGTGCTTTCTCCTCTTTTCGTGTGATTATGACTAATGAAAGCCAGAAGCCTCATCTGCTTCTAAATATTTCATCCAATAAATTTGGGGAAATAATTGCATGCTTAAGTAAATGAGCATAAGGTACGCTCACCAAGAACTTTCAGAATAATGTATTTTCTTCGGAGACAGAATGTACGATCACTTCACTTGGGCTTCATTTATGTGTGAAGTATTTTAGGCTAGATGCCACTAATTTTACCTCATGACATGATACACCATTGAAAGCCAAAGATCAGAAGCCTGACAGAAACAAGGAATATTGTGTCGGTGTGCTAAATTTAGCACGACTTGGATCCAGGGGATCTACAGTTGTGAACCATCCTCTGACCTGCCCTTGTACTCTTGTAGCACTTTGAAACCTAGAGCTTCTTTAACTTTATTATGGCCTTTGAATTAGGATTAACTCGGCAGGCTGGAAGAGGAGAGAAAAGCCAGTGTCCACAATGCTTTCTGGGAGCCAGGGCTTCCTGCAGATATTATTTTTTCTCAAAGTTTTAAAATAGTTTTTAAAAACATCTAAGAACCTATTGATACAARCTGTTGCTGAGGGATTGAGTTTCATGTAAATCAGTCAACTGAATCTGAACTCAAGATACTTAACCTTAAAAAAAAAATGTAGTTTCAGGTTAATGAAGAATTTAGTATTGATACTATTATTGCCAGTGGAAAGTTGGGGACATTTATAAATAGCTGGGTTTGCCATGGTAGAGAAATATCAGAACACTTACAATATAGAACTATGTACAGTATGATAAGACTAAACAGTTTATGGTTGGGGATATTTACATATACTGTGTTGTGCACATGTGTGTGTGTGTGTGCACATGTGTGTTCAACCTTTAGGTGAATACTCTTATTTTTGGTCCAAACTAAGCATATTTAATTGACATTTAGATCAGAAAAATTTCCCTGACTTCTACTTGCTCTGTGGTCTTACACAAAATTCCTAGATTTTTCTGGCCTTAGTCTATAAAGTTGGAAAAACAATGCCATGCATGGGTATTATGAGAATTAACTGAAAATATATTTAGCACATGTGGCACAATGCTTGGTACATGATAGGGACCCAATATATTTTAGGTAGTATAATGCTGTGGCAGAAAAATTTTATTTTAAAATAAATTAGAATGGAAACCATACTTACAGGGCATATGATTTATTCATCAGAGTACTTGTTTTGTAAATGGTTTTTCATTTAGATTTTCTCTACTGCTCACATGAGGTTTAATCATTGTTGGTATTAGTCTGAGCCAAAGAAAGAAATACCATTATTCCTTATAGATATGCAGAATTGGGAAAAGGAAATCTAAATAAGTAAAACAGATTTCATATTTATATTCTCAAGAGCTTAGTAGTTTTAGACATTCCGTGTATGACTCTGGGTTCAGAGTGGTGGCAGCATTGAAAGATGCTTGGGGCTTTGTACATTACTATACAACCCTATACTTATATTCTAATCAGAGAGAGACACTCTGAAATATTAGGTTATACTTCCAGGTGGTAAAAAAAAAATGCTATGGTATGGCCAATAAGCCCTATTTTTGAGAGAAGAGAAAGAGCATATTCATTGCCAGGGGAGAAAGAGAAATTGGAAGAAGTAAAATGTAAAATTGACCTTGAACAATGAGGGGATTTAGGCTGGAATGTGGGGGGAAGGTGTCTGAAGGGGACAGAATATGATAGTGCTTTGGGGAAAAATAATGAATATAACATTGATCTGACAGAAAGGAAATCAGACTGGAGATATTAGTATTATACTCTATTGGTAGGTCAGCACAAATACTTCAGTGTTATTCCTGGTCTCTTCCCTAAGGAGCCTTTTTAAGCTTTTCTTTCCCACAATTGCCCCCTCCCTGTGAGACTTTAGCATYGCATGTATATTTTACATCTATTTATGTACTATGCTCCTTTGGGGGCCACACACCATTGAATTAGTTGATCATTTTCATTTACCCTTGAACTAAAGACTAACTGTCGCCACCCTGCACGTGACAGAACCATGGTTGAGATTGTGTGCTGTAGTGGAACCAATACCCGGAGATCTTCAATGCCACATTGAAAAGCATGTATCCACAATCTTTCAGGGTTTCTTGACTCTCTTTATAATTTTGGGTTTAATTCTCTCTTCTACCCCCCAATTTTTGTAGTTGTAGATGGACAGAATGCCTTTATTTTACTTGTTACTTTTTTACTGTGGTGCTGTGGATCGAAACCAATGCCCTACACATGGTAGGCAAGCACATGTAGCCCCTGAACTCCAGCTCCAGCCCTGAATTTAATTCTTGATAGCTTGAGTGATCCTCAGGGTGTTTTTTTTTACTACCGCACATGGTGTCCTTCTCAATTTTTATTGACCTATACGTACAATTTATTTTGGTTGCCTATGTAAAGAGGTATGTGTGTATAATATATTGAGATTATATGCACATGTACATATATATATATATACATATATCTCTGTATCTATCATGTATGTTTCTCTCTTGTTGTAGATGATAGGATTTGAATTGGAGAGAGGGATTTTTTTTKTGTGTGTGTGTGTGTGTGAAAACTTTGCCTTAAAAGGAAGCATTACATTCCCCTGATCCAGATTCGTGTGTTCCTTAGGACTCGGTACTATACCATCTACAGGCAGGTATACAACAGGGAGTGGCAGACAGTCTACAGGTGCTGCCCTGGTTGGAGCCGTTGGGATGATGAACCTGGCTGCCTACACCGTAAGTTATAATTCTTCCTGTCTAACTCTCTGTCATTAGAAGGAATGGTTTTGCTCTGTGTTTGGCTTCAATCATCTTATGCCTGTCAAGTTTTCGGCATCTTTAGAAGCACCACAGTTCACAGCATCTCTTTGGACTGAATATTCACACATGACATGTGCAAAAATGCACAAAAAGCCTTTCTGTTAAGCGTTTCTAATGATAGGTCACGACTCAGGACCTATGGAAGTGCTGCTTTATATTCTGTCTCTTTATTTAAAAGACAGTTGATTTAAAGCCAGACGGGTTCTACCTTGACTTCCATTTCTCTTTTCTGTTTGCCCCTTTCCCATATCATCAAATTTGTAATCCACAGTTGATTCAGAAGTCCAGAGGGAAATCACTGTACTAAATCTAAATGGGATTTCTCCACTTGTGCTTGTCATGATTAATTGCAGAACTCTGGAGGCAGTTTACTTTTTAAGATGAGGTATGCAGTCCTCTTACAAGCCTCTGGTGCGGGTGTTTCAGAATCTTTCAGGTATGTTTGACAGCACTTGGGCAGCAGAACTAGTGGCATTCTATAGTTCATTCTTGCCAGGAGAAATGGTTCTGTTTAGCGGCTCCTTTACCTACATTATGTGTTTATGGTTATTGCGAAGTCCCTTAAAATGCTTCCGTGTGTTGCAATCAATGCAGCGCCACAGCACAACAATTCATCTCTCCTGCTCTGCTGTACCTGAGGGAGTTTGTTGGCATCCTGCTTCCTTCCCTAGTGTGCTTTCTGCTCTTGAAATGTCTGCGTGAGGTTGCTGCGGGCTTCCCATATTAAGCAGGCTTAGCGTTGAGTGGTGCAACAAGGGTCATTGTCTATTTACATGAAGCGCAAGGCCACTGCAGCTGACTAGTTTAAGATCAGCGAAAAGAGCTGCCCACAATACTATTTCACTATGTTATGAACTTCTGGAAATTAACAACTTTGAAATGAATTCTTTATGTTGGTGGTAAGGTACCTATCACAGTCCTTTGCCTCTGATTAAGAATCAGTAATTCATTTGATTTTTAGATTTGTTTTGACCACACAATCATCTTATCCATGCCTTTTGACCACACAATGGTCTTATCCATGCAGACTTTTTAGATTAGTGCTTATCAAATTTGAATGTGAATGTGGATCACCCGGTGTCTTGTTGAAATACGAATCTGATTCAGTGGACCTGGGATGGAGCCCGGAATTCTGCATTTCTACAAGCTCTCAGGTGATGGGAATATTCCTACACAAGGAATTCTTTAAAGCTTTGGACAGTAAGGCCTTAACTTGTAATGAAAACACTCTTTATCCATGCTTTGAAGGGGCTAAGAGAAATGTCTAGAATATGTTATATTAAAAATATGGAGTCCATATTCATGATTTTTTTCTTTCTCTCAACTCCATTCTCCCACCCTCCTTGATTGCCCTCCTTTTAGCCATGTCTGCTATGGGAACTCATTTCAACAGTAGGAAATGCTCAGATGGTGAAGTCCAGAATTGCCAGTGTTCACAGGGATTTCACGGACCCCACTGTCAATATGGTGAGTCACCAACAAGACCATTTATTATGAGTTGGAACTGTCTGCTTTGCTTTTAAGGGACAGCCAGTGATGTCAATGCAAACTAATGGCAGGGTCATCCCTTTGGGGATTGGTGAGTGTTTAAAATGAGCCACTAAGCAGAAACCTACAACCTAAAGTGTAATCAGCCTCACAAAATATGCTTTGTAGTTTAGTTTTAATTATTCACTATAAGAGTTCAAAGGGTAGCAGTAAGTACAAAATAGTCCACTTTGTAAAGGAAATGGCAGCTTAATAAGAAAACCTCATCCTGACCTCAGATGTTAAATCTTTCACGGAGCCTTGCTTTGAAATTGCTGGTACGGTATTCTTCTGTGAGATCTCTATGGTTTATGAATGAACAAAGTGGGATTCACATGAATTCCTTGTATTGTGGTACTTAATACTTTCATGCCCTTAATTTAAAAAGTTCAAAAATAAAAACTCAAAACTTACATGATTCTCAGTTTCAATGCTTGCTTGGCAATCTGGTTTTCGAGGTTGGTATATTTAAGATGTTTCATACAGTACAGGAAAATTTCAGAATGGTCACTTATTGGTCCTTAACTGCATCAGCCATGAGATATGGGATAGTTTCAAAAGGATTTGCTTTGACTTGATCATTTGATTCTAGTCTCCAAAGGATATGGGTGCACCTGCAGTTAGCTTTTTAGAGGAGAAAAAACAAAACAAAACCTAGCTGAAAGAAGTTGACGGGACAGATGTAAAGAGTTATCCAAAATTCTGCATTTATTGTCTTCTACTGATATGGGTTTCTTCTTTCTCTACTGTCTGGATCTTTATAAATGAAATTGGAAGATGGCTAAGAGTTCATCATTCATGTCCATGGGTTCCTGCTGCCCTTGGCAAAAGGTGAAGGCTCCCGTTTTTCATGGGTCACCTCAAAGCTATTCTTCTTGTAAATTAATCCTGATACTCTCTTCTGAGTTGCTTTTTTTAAAAAAAATTAAAATTAAAATAAAACTGCTTTTTTAACCCCAATTTATTCTTTAACTATGGAACACTGATTCTGAAATAGAGGTCAGTGGATGCTTTGAGCTGCAGGATGTATCTTCAGCTATTTCATGATTTTAAAGAAGTAGCAGAAATTCTACATTGATCTGGGATAACAGAGTATTTGTCTCTAAATAAATTGTTTTAGCTGCATGTACAGCACTGGTTTCCTTATCGCAATCAGTAACTGTGACGGCTAATTGAACATATCATTGATTCATTTAGAGTTTTTAAAAATTAATTATTACTTTATAAATGCTTTTGTTTTGGTAGAAGCAAATCTTGCAAAACATTAAGTCCCATAGGAGAAAGGTAATGAAGGAGACATATGGTAATGATAACGATCTGGAAATCATACCTGAGTTAATTTATTCTTTATTTTTCACATCAGTACTTGGATATTTTGATTATTCTAGCATCTTAACAACTTTTATACACCAAAATAATTAACATGCTTTCTTAAGTTTATGTAGGTAGATTCTTTTTTTTTTTTTTTCTTCAATTTTTGGTTGGCGAAAATCATCTTGCCTTTCCCACAGGTTTGTGGACCATAAAGTTTAGTAGTCATGAGAACCCCCATCTTACAAAGTATCTTTCCAGTCTCCATTGCATTTTTCAGTAACATTGTCCAAGTGTGCTCCCCTTTAGATTTTTAACACTATTCCTTCTCCCAACATGATATCTCCTGTAGAATTTTAAAAGGAATTGATAAACCCTGAGAGTTATTCAACTGAAATGGTGGGAGCTCACACATTTGCTACATGGTATTGCTTTACATCTATCAAAATAAAAGGAGATACAAAAACTATGTGAATTTAAGGGAGTTTTAGGCAGGCATTTTGAAGACTTTCTAGGAAATCAATCAAATTTGGGAAAGAAGTTAAGAACCAATTAAGAAGAAATGGCATTAGCTGAGATTTGAAGGAAGATTAAAAATTAAAATCAGCAAAGAACTGTCTTTAAAAGGAATGTACTTGATAGAACATATAGTCTATCAAGGAGGATGATTATAGTCTTGCAGTAGATTTTCTAACACACTGCTTATCCTGTGGTTGTATTTGAGTTCTGGGTTATGAGCTTAGAAGCCTTGGCCTGATTGATGTGCTCTCATTCTCTCTCTCTCTCTCTCTTTCTCACAATAAAATAATTATAGTGATGTTTTTCAAATTATATAAATAATATATATCTCACAATAAAATAACTGTAGTGATGTTTTTCAAATTATATAAATAATAACTCAAATGAAAACAAATTGAAAAAAATTAAAATGATAAAAATGCCAAGTTAGTTCTTAGTGGTTCTGGACTGATTCTTGGTATCAGATACTTCCTTCAACATTTTATTACTTCTGTTAAACTTATGAGTGTCCCATTGATATTTTCTAAGTTTGGGTTTTATTTTCTTATCTATTATTTGACCACCAAGCGTTAAGCTATATTTTATGTTTCAGGAATTCTGCTTAAGGGAGGATGCCTGTGTTCAGGAATTCCTAATTGCAAAAGGTTTCAACTTTGAAAGCCTAAGAAACTGATCACCATGGAAGATAATGTATACAAGATTTCAAATACAACAGATATATTTTAGGGGGAAAAAGCCCAGTTAATAACATTGCACAGTACTTCTGCCTTTAGAAAGTGATGGTGGTCATCCTCTTAGGCACATTTATTCTTACCCATATATTATATACTGTTTTGTCATGAGTGCTCTTCTTCTTTTCCTTTGCCTTTTCTTCTCCCCATCCAACATACTCTCCCCTCCCCAGTAACAACTGGCTGAATACTCCTTTCTATCTTTCTCTTAACTCATGTTGTCATATACAAATAGGTGAATAATATTCTTTGATACCAGTTCACCAGAAATTTGCAACTAGTCATTTTATTGATAAACATTCATTTGTTTCAACTTCTTTATTTTTTTTTTACACAATAATCAGTGCTTCAGTAATATGGTGTTTTTAATTTTGTGGGACAGAGTCCCTATAGTGGAATGGTTGATTTCAGTGTATATTTTTAAAAAAGATTTTTTTTGGATACAGGGAATTGAACCCAGAGACACTTAACCACTGAGCCAYATTCCCATCCTCTTTTTGTATTTTATTAGAGGTAGAGTCTCACTGAGTTGCTTAGGGCCTGGCTGAGTTGCTGAGGCTGGATTTGAACTCATGATTCTCTTGCCTCAGTATTCCAAACCTCTGGGATTATAGGTGAGTGCCACTATGCCCAGCTGTTTTAAAATTTTAATGTGCTTAAGAATAAAAATATTTATTTAAATTATTTGTAAGTTTTTCTTTCTTTTGTGCCTCAGAAATGGCTTTACCAATTTATTTTGTTAGAATGGATTATATAGTCTAGTTAAATCCTAGTTATTTGCTTCCTTTTTTGACATATACAATGTTTTCCCTGCATCTGAATCCCATACCAGCAATGTGATACTGTGATCAGGATTATTGTAAATATGGATTGCTAATATAGGGTAAAGTTGACTTTATATGAGATATATGGAAAAAAAGAAGTTTTAAAAATAAACCAGATGGCTTTTTTAAAATGGAGAAAAGACTCTAGTCTTCRAGAGAGAAGGGACATGCTAATAACTGAGAAAAATGCTTGAAGTTAATAATGATTCTAAAATTGCTGATCTACTTAACTCATTTGAAAAATCTGCCTCTAATAAGGAAAAATGAAGAAAATGAATTTGGACAATTAGGAAGTAATGAAGAGCTTTCTAAAATAGCTATTGATTAAAGGAATCAAAAGGAATACTTTGAAGATTTGAACACATGCAAATCAGGCTAGATAGCTGGTAGTGAAATTCTTTCACTCTTTTTAATTTTATGGATTCAGGCAGAACAACTTGGAGATTCATTAACTGATTTATTATCACACACAAAGTTACACCTATTTTCCTCACTACTTATTCCATCTTCCTTTTCTCAGAAGTCAAGAAGACTTCCTTGGTCAGAAGTCAAGTTAAATAAAAATACCCCTCTGGTTTAACGTAAGTCTCTGAGGTCTCTTTCTTTTATTCATATATTCATCCATTCCATGTTGCAGTTAGTAAATATTAATAAAACAGACTGTATGCAGGTATTTCAGATGCCAAAACAATTAGGCTATTCTTAGTGTAGTAGGAAATAGAGACCAGGAATCGAATGATTAGAATACAGCTCACAAGTACTGTGATGAAGGATGTTTCTGTCCTAAAGGAAACAGGAGAGGGTTTATCTTTGTCATGCAATGGAGGTAAGGGAGTTTTCTCAAAATACTGGAAAATAAAAATACTACTTATTCTCAAAGATAAGCAGAATAATACGAAATTTAGCAGAGTAAATAGTACATTACCCAGAGACATGGAAGAGTACTGCAAGTTCAATGAACAACAATAATAATGAAAGTAGTAGTTCTTTTGCCTGCAGTAAGAGATGTACATGGAACATGGCAAAATATGGCTTTCCTCCCCCCCCCAAGGTCAAGGGCAGCAATTACTTAGTCTTTTTTGGTACAAACCAACTATTTTAGAACCTTATACACATATGATTGTGTAAAGGGATTCTGACAAGACTTCCCTTTCCCAAGTTCATTCTCTGTCCAGGTAGTCCTACAGTTGGTGTCTTGAACTTATGGTAGTACTGATTGGTACTCATTCTCATGTGCTTATGGAGGAGTTCCAAACTGTCTGCATTACTTCAAAGTGTGGTGTATGATATTTAGGCATACAAAAAAAATTCTTGTTTCTGGAATRTTATGTAGTGACATGGAAAAGTCCTCAAGAGTTCTGAGGTTGGGGTTGGGTCTAACCATTAGCTGCATGCATTATCTTGGAGAAGGCATTTTATATTCCTTGACTCAATGTTATCATTTGTAGAACAACAGCTTTAATTTTCCTTAGCATCTGCCAAGCATCAAGCATTATTGTAAACATTTTAAATGTATTACATTATTAATCCTTACAGGTCCATAATATGAATATTC